CTACCCTCACTTTATTTATCTGAGACAGGATTTGACTCTGTCACCTGGGCTGGAGTGCAGTGGCATAAAACTGAAACATCTGCCTCCCAGGATCAAGCCATCTTCCCACCTCAGCCTCCCAAGTCTCTGGGACTACAGGCATGCACCACCACACCTGGCTAATTTTTATATTTTTTGTAGAGACAGGATTTTGCCATGCAGCCCAAGCTGGCCTCAAACTCCTGAGCTCAAGCAATCCTCCTGCCTCAGCCTCCCAAAGTGCTGGGATTACAGGTGTGGGCCCCTGCACCTGGCCTCATTTTTTTATTTTAAAAAACAAAACAAGGAAAATAAAAGAGAGGCCTATTATTTAAGTATTTTTTGGTATGGGGCATGTATTGTTTAGAAGGTTGAAGTGAAACATACCAAAATAAGAAGGAACTGCCAGCTCTCTGGGTGGTCCTCTAGCCTGCTTTGTAGGAAGTTTCATTAACCCTGTTCTCCTCTGAAGTCCAGAGAGACTGTTCCAGGATCCAAAAACTGCTAACCTGTCTCTGACCTGCTATATGATTATTTGCATCACTAAATTCACAGCTAACCGTGCTTTCTTTGTTTCAGTTCATGCAGTTTGAGAGCTGCTTAAAGGTGCTCATAAACAGACTCATACTCTGGAAATTACAGCTGTGCACGAAAGCTGGAGAAACCATAAATGCCCACTGATAATGAAATTAGCTGGACCAATGTGCTAGTCCAGCTTTGTCTGTCACTGTCACAAGTGAACAAAATAACCAGCTCACAGACATTCTTCCTAATACCACATATTCCATAAGACATTTAAAGACTTTAATAAATGGAATTATATCAAAGGCCTGCCGACTCTGCTACTGTCCTTCCTAAGTAGTCATCTGGACTGCCCCTGAAACTAAGACCATCAGTTCTTTGGGAGGAGAATAATGATTTTTTTATGCGAATGGGGTTTCATAGATGAGGATGGAGAGTTTTGTGAGTTATAATGACTATAAAAAGGTGGCCAGGTATCAGAGAAAAGTCTCTCAAATCTATGTGATGAGAAGGATAGAAATGAAAGATTAGTGCAGTCACAGTTGTTTGGGAGTAAAGAAGCAAGAAAATGAAAGGGAGCATGAAGGGGGAAAACAGTGAAAAGGAAAAACAAGCAGAGACAAACTGCTGAATCTCTCTTTTCCCAAAGAGAGAGAACGATTTCCTTGGAAAAAAGGTAGGCTAGCCAAACTGTCCCATAGAGCAATTGGAGGGTGAGGACTGGCCAATCTTCTTTGCCCACTGTAAGCATCTTGGCCATGGAGAGGACAGAGGAGGAGGATCATGGTACGGCACATGAAAAAGATTAAAGCAACGGGCAGGGACCAAATTTAAAAACCAGTGGAAAGTCCTGGCTCTCACCCTTCTTTGGTGTTGACACTGGACCAAAGTTTTCAACATAATCATTGTCAAATAATTGTCATTGTACGAAGTGGTACTTGCCTCCCAGAGAATAACATTAAAGACATGAATGATGAAAGCAACTCAATCTAACAAGTGAGGATAAGCAGATCGAGGTGAAAGAATTTGCAAGTTATCAGAATGAGGGAGAGAGGCAGGAAACAATCTGGTGGAATGTTCTATAGGAAGCCGTATTGAAAACATGGCAAGGCAAGGAGGAGAGGATAGCAGGGCCCAGCGCAGGATGGGCAAGGGCAGGGCTAAGGAGCAGGGTCAGCTAGTAACCTTTCCAGAGAAAAATAAAACTTCCAGGACCAATCTAAAAGGTAATTCGTTGCTTGGTCCTTCTCATGCAAACACCTAGGAAAGGAAGGGGAGAAGGTCTGGCAAGGAGGCTGATGCTGAATGGAGGATGCAGTAGAAAAGTAATTACATCTGATGTGGGCCAACCAGGTGCAGGCCTGGCACAGCTCATACTGACATGCACACCTGTCAGGAGTTGGCATATAATCCTACTCCAATCCAGGATCTGGGTGGAGTTTCTCCTGGGGAGAATTCATAAATACTTACCTTGCCAATAAAAAGCCAGAAAGGCACAACACATCTCATAACCACAGAGCCACATATACATCTCGGTTAGCCCATCTCATGGTTCCCCCATTTCACCTGGACTTTGTACTTTATTTGCTAGAGTTAGAAAAATAGGACTGAAGTCACTTTTTTTTTCTTGAGTAATCTACTGAATTTTTAAGGGTTTACTAGAGATCAGCCCCCTCCACTGTTCCCTACTGATTGCTCCAAGAAGATTTGAGCATCTGTACAAAATAAATATGCAACAAGCATGACCAACTGGCCCCAAGCTCTACTAGGTCCCAGTTCAGCAAGACAGTTACCTGTACCTTTGGCCAGCTACCTAGTACAGAGAGATTTTTGCCACTAATCACTCTAGCAATGTTGGTCACCATAAACCATAGTCTGAATGAAGAGCTTGAGGGTTAAACAAGCATTTTCTTAGACTCTTTTAGGGCCAGTCATACCAATTTTATCATTTTTATATATCTGTATATTTGAAGTTTTCACCTTCAAGTAGGCATAGGCAGAAACAAAAAACTGGTGAGACTGCAGAGGTGCAGATGCTTCTCCACCTTAGTCCGCTAGGGGTGCTGGACGATCTGCAAATCTGGTATTGGGCTTTGACTTGAGCACATGGTGTTTAGGGGCTTTAGAGTTTATAGGCATTTCTTCTTCATTTGGCTTTGTAATGGATAATAGAGAATAATGGACAACTGGCTGAATGAGTGAATGTTTTAACTAAAAAAAAAAAAAAATCAGTCTCAACACAGCTTACCTATTGGTTTGGGGACTAAACAGTCATGATCTGGCTCCACTTGGTAATCTAAACAACTGATTTTAGAGTTGCTGGCAAATGGCTTATGGCTGGGGAGAACAAACAGTTTCCTATCTTACAATCTCTATTGAGAAAAGAAAAGAACTCATGACCTAGTTTAGGAAATCGTAGACTGATAGTATAAAAAGACAGAGAAAAAATGTAAGCTCTATCTCAACCTATAGAATTGAGAGCAACTAGAACCACTAAAGGGGCTTTCATAATTCCCAATTTAGGATTGGAACAGAAATAAGAAAGGGCCTCAACTTCTCTATTTGACCACTTTCTGGGTATTCATGTGTGGGCCTGCTTGGATGTGAGACAAAGACCCATGACTGTGGGTGGAGGATGGCTTTCGGCTCCGAGGTACTCCTTGGAAGGTTCCAGCTTTGGCCTTAATAACATGCTCTAGATCAGCATTTAGGCCATTTCTTAATAAGCAACACTGACAGTTGCCTAACAGCAGAGCTCATATGGTATAACTCAGAAGGTGTCAAAAATGGAGGAGCCTCCATGCAACAAGGAGCTGCAGATACGTATTCATTCATCAAGAAATGGTTAGCTCAACTGGGTGTGGTGGCATGTGTCTGTAGTCTCAGCTAATTGGGGGGATGAGATGCAAGGATCGTTTGAGCCCAGGAGTTCAAGTCCAGGGCAATATAGTGAGACTCCATCTCTTAAAAATAGAAAGGAACTGGTCATCTCTAATAACTCATTGCTCTAAGTGGGAGAGAATACTTCTGTGTGGTAGTAAGGCGCATTTGAAAAAATCAGAAGATGGAGAAGTTTAGGTGTTAGGGCTTACTGTTCTACCATTTCAGGAGAATCAATTATTCATGATTTCTATTTCTTGCTGCTTTGAATCAACTTGGAAGATTTAAAGTGTTTGAGATATAAGCAGGTATTGCTTAAAATTCTATGTGAATGTTACAGTTACAGCCTTGGATGGTGGTAAGAAATGCAGGAGCAAGGCTCGGCATTTCCCCTTCATTCTGGAATTACAGAGTAACAGGATGGATTACAAGCACCAGATCTGGTGTAAATTAAAACTGCAACGGATCTTAAAATTTTTTTTTTCCCAGTAAATAACCAACCTCTTCAGGCCACTGGAACAATAAATGTCTCTCCCAAATGGCATATTAGGGATGCCTACTCATAGAAACACATTTGGGGATATGCCTAATACTATCCCAGGGCTTCGGCTTCCCAGCCAAAGAAACCCGTCTCACCAAAAGAGACATCATGTATCTGGTAAAATAAGATCCTTGAAGAAAGAAAAAAGCTGAGCAGGTGCTAAGTAACTGTGGGCACGTGGCATCATACATTGCAGGAATCAGATGTTCCAAAGTCATCTCCACGTGGCTACCCTGACCAGCAATATGTTCCCTGTAGCTCTCTATCCACCTTCCCCCTTTCACCATCTTCCCCTCCCCCCACCCCACTGTCTTCCATGGCAGCAAATTGACTCCTTAGGGTAGATTTCCAGTTCTTAGCACTCAAAACTGCCCAGGATGACAGTTGTCTATTAAAGTGGCTAATGGAGGTGATGGTCACAGCAGGTCATGGTGAGGAGAGAAAGGAAAGTAGTGAGCTGTGAAGTGTATCTAGTGGCATGAGCTTATTCTAGTGGGAAAGTGCCAAGCATCCTTGAATATTTCAGAGGAAATGGACTGGGCCAGGAAATCAATATGTGAATACATTTTCATTCTGCTGCAGAATGATTCAATATGTGTTCTTCCCAGCAAAGGGATGGGTTGGGAGAGGTACCAGGGAGGAAAGCCTATGCCCATGCTCAGGCTTTCCTAGGCACCTAAAGGGAGGCTACCAGAGCTGGAAAACGTGTTCTAGCCTTCTCATTTACCTTCTAGAGGTGAAGATATTGCTTGAAAAGCCTTAAAAGTTCAATTCAAGTTTGTTTCCGGCCTGCCAAGATCTCTCCTTAAACCAAAGGCAGCATTTTTTCCTAGGAGGCCCTTAAGGTGGCCTCAGTGGATATTGTGTGAGCTGAGAGAGCCTAGGAAATGGTTGAGGAGAGATGCTCAGTTTTTTACACATTTCTTACAGGTATGGAGTTTGTAGTGAAATCTGGAGTAGGGAGGCCTATGCTCAAATATGAAGTCTGGGCAGGCATTCAGAGAACAGACATACAAAGAGAAAGAAAATCTCTTCATACCTTCATTTCTTCCTCCATTTCTGACATTTTGCGCTCCAAGGCTCGCCTCTCCTGTATAGGAACAATGAGACTGTTGAACATTTATTGAATTCAGAAGGGAGTAAAAATGCTGCCTCTCAGCTCCTGTGTGATCAGCAGATTCATGGTCAAAGGGTTCATCTGCCGACGAACCTTACTCAGGAGATTTGAGCACTATCTGATCCTGCCACTTGTGGGATGGAGCTACCTCACCGATAAAAATCACATTATCAAAATCTCCTATCATAAAATTAGTAGATAATGGAGATGCAACTTGCTAATATGCAAATGGACCAGGACACTCAGTTATGTGTGCAGGTTGAAGATTTCATAGAATTTCAAATGTCTGCAAGTGACTAGGGCCCCTGCTATCTATTATCAAAAAAGCATCACTATCTTCAGTAACACTCTCCCTAAATTCCTAGGAAACTGCTTCTCTCATGATGGGGAACAGATGGTGAGCTGGGAAGTAGACATTATTGTCTACGAAACAGCATCTCTCCCCTTGGTTTTTTCCCTCCCCCTGTAGTACTCTTCTCCTGCTCCATTTTTCTTTCCCAGCGTCTGACTCTTGGTTTAGCCTGAACCCAATGAGGAGTTTTTGATCAGATGGGATACCAAGGAGGTTTGGTTACAGGCCAAAGGAATAAAATGTAAAACTTAGCTGCTTTCCAAATTAAACAGACAACAACAGGACAGATGGGAACGTATTATATCCCTAGGGTCAAATCAAAGCTAGGGTCCATCAATAAATCTAATTGAATTTTCCCAATCCAAGAATGTAAAATCCCAGAATAATATTCTGAGTACAGTTGGAAGTAAGTCAGCAATTGAACCAGAAATCCTCCCCTCAGTCAAAATGAGTGAAAGCCTGTGTTGACTCATGTTTCAAGTTGTAAGATCTAAGTCAATGGCAGAGGGTCCCACTGAAAGCTTCCATTTTGTTGAAGGCGATAAAAAGGGTAAAGAGACCTTGCTCTCTCTGTGTGTGTGTGTGTGTGTGTGTGTGTGTGTGTGTGTGTGTGTGTGT